TATATATATATATATATGCTTTATTATTTTATAACTATGAATGTTAAACATTATGCAATGTCTTATAAACAAGAATCTGCAACTTCTCAAATAATCTATCAAAATAATTTACTCAAATCGTTGGAAGGAATATTCAAATACATTAGTATAGTACCATTATATACGCATACATGTATATTATGGTATTATGCAATTATAGATACGTATTTGAAATATACTAAATTTCTGCGCAAATATAAAATTGCCACAAATCTAATTAAAATAGTGGATGACGCTTATTTGATGAATTCTATAACAAGATATTTCGTGTTATTGCGAATATATTATATGGACATAAATCATTAATGTTATTTCATGAGATTGCATACCTATTATCTCTCATTTGTTTAGAATACGGCCTTAAGCAACGTAGATATCGCGATTCGTCCGTATATTGTAAGAATTTAGCGTTAAACGTAATCACACGAGGGATATGCTCGTGCCGACGACATACAGAACTCAGTATTGACAAACTGTAATTTATTTTCTTCATGATAATACATCACACTTCATTAGATTCGTAGTCTTATCAGTCAAATTATGAGAAGGTGTTCTCGTAATAATAATAGTAAAATTGTTTCTTCGTTAACTATGAGATAACTCCTAGATCGTAAAACCTTTGTATTCGTATGTACCTGTATTCTACGTACATTTATATAAATATATATATATTCGGAAATGTCCATGCATGCGTATATTGAGTCGAATCTCAATGAAACACATGTTTCATTTAGTAGTTTATTGCATGTATCGTCCCTTCGCTATTTGCACTTTGTTAGCCGTGATGAGATATCGCGCGACGACTGCGCTGCCCGCACAAACAATCCCGATAATTACACCTACCAAAAGGCCAACAAAGAATTGAATATCCTCCATGAGTGTCCTTGCCTGACTCTTTGGCTTATGGAACTTTTCGGTGTCGTCTTTCGTCCTTGCAATATAGCCCAGCCAATAGACGAGTCTGTCGGAGGGTGGGTTTAGTCTGTCGCGTATCGCCACGGAAACCTTTCGTGCATTTTCACGATAAACCACCGTCTCATAGATCTCGTTTATTATTTGTGCGATCTCCTTGGCCAAGGCGAAATGATCGTTCGTGGTTTTTATGGAGCGCGCGAAACCCAACTCGACTGCGCGAGCCGCGTTACGAGACTCGTGGGCGTCCCTCGGCAGACATATCAGAGGTGTCCTGTGAAAGGCAGCTTCCAGGAATTCTGTATCAGTACAATGACTCAACACCACTCGAGTTCGGCTATAACCTGTAACAATGAGGCAACAGTATTAAGGGAAAGAGAATGCCTCCATTGCCGTATTATCCTCTCTTGAGCGATTATATTCAATTCAATGCGCTTTGAAGAATTTGTATTCGCAAGGCACGTATTTCACTTGTGCGCAAGTAAACGCTCTAGAACTCATTGTTTTCATTTACTATGAAATGTATTGTGTCGTGGGAAAGAGATAAAGGTCTCTCAATGAGAACCCTACATTGTATTTACTAAAATTGAAAAGTTTACATTTTTTAAAATCAATATTACGTATATGAAATATGTATTCTTTATAATTTGGCTACTGATTTACGCACCTGTATTAAAACAATTTATAGTTTTTATATTTAATTCTCATTGTTACAGAAATATCTTTTTATCAATGTATAATTATTTTACCTATGATATCTTGCCGGTCAACATCCTCCTCAATAAAAAGATTTTCCGGCGCAACGTTTGTATTGCGCTTATTCTTCCATATGACAGCTTGACCTTCCCTCCCTTGAGGCAATTTCTTTGCCAGTTCTTGTATTAACGTCTCATAATTTTCTTCTAAAAGAGCAACTATAGTACCCGTCCTATATTCGATCAATGACTTTTGTAAATTCTCAGGTAAGGGATATGCACCTCTACAGTGATGACAACCAACCTAAAATTAAATTTAATTGATTTAAAAGTAATTTTAAATCAATGTTAAATTGTAGTTTTGGAAATTTACAAAGATATGCCAAAACGTTAAAAAAACAAGAGAATAGAATGAAGAATTAATATACATTTTACAAACCTCCACGAGTAATTCTGTTAAAGATGCAAAATCAGAACGTAATACTGTATCGCCTCCCCAAAGTACTAATCTAACATCCGCGTAAAGATGCTCCAAATCGATATTAATGTCCGGTAGATGTTTGATTGCTAATCGTAAAGCGGGAGTTAGATAATCGTTCTTAATAGTGGAAAATATGGTTTTCCCTGAGAAACTTGTTGAAAGTCTCGACCAAAAGCCACCACTATGCACCGGCAGTGCAACTCTAGTGCATTCAAATGCATACAGTTCCTCATCTGGATTCTTTATCCAGATTACTGGAATTGATTCAATA